TATATAAACTGTATGATATTATTTATAATTATTTATAATGTGATAGACATGCACTCTATATACTGTATATGTAAAATTACATTTTTATATATGCATACATATAAATTATTTCATACAGTATGTATATATATATATATTCAGTATGTATATATTATATTCCTGTCCAGTTTTGCAAACTGCTTTCAGACCCCTAAAAATGTGCCAAGTGTGGAAATAAAGGGAACCAATTACTTTTGCATTTCTAAGTCTAACCCAGACATGCATTGCTTCATACAGACACATAAATCCCTTTGCTAGTCAATAGAGATGGTCAAAGTGAAAGCGGTGTGTTCTCTGTGACAAGATTTTGTTTAAAATGTACTACAGTTTCACAACACATACACTCAGCCCGTGGCATGATATTTACACACATCTCGACTTGCTGTAGACGTCTTGAAGTCATGCATCTTGCGCACAAACTTATACTGTATATCCAAAAGATTCTGTTCGAGTCTGTTGTGAGGACACATGATTTGTGTTTTATAAACTTTGAGGGTCTCAGACGCACTAAATGTGATGCATTGACGCTCTTTCTGGAGAAAATGAATATGATGATTAGTATTTGCTGTAAAGGCCGAGCAGACTCTACAAACAGGGAAACGTGCAATGTTTGTACTCATAACACACATTAACACTATCTATATGTATGTTTTTCTATATGTGTGTATGTATGTTCATGCAAGCGCTGCTGTTTGTCATGTGTATTATTGCTGAAAGCATTGATGAATTTGACCTCTGGACACTCAAATCAACAGCTAAGCATCACTGAATCGCCATCTCCATTTAATCTTAATTTACGTTGAAAATGTCAGTTCTGTCAACCTGTCAGAATGCACTGATGATATTATGATGATGTAACTGCTAATGATATAGTGAATGCATTCCAGTAGAATAATAAATGGCTGCATTTCATTTTTTAAATCACACGCATTCTGTCATGCTTTAGTATTTCAGACAAAGGTGAAGTCTGTAATTTCTGCACCAGTGAAATTGTTTTTAGTAATTGAAATAATGATCAAATTAAATTAAATTAAAAATTAAATTAAAATTCAGATGAAAATTGAAAACCAAATGTTGAAGCACTAAAATATGGAAGATAAAAAACAATTCATTTAAAAAGCTCTGAGAAAAATGTCAGAATTTTGAGATTAAAAATATCTCTATTACCAATTTTTATTTATTTTATTCTATTTATTTTTTTCTATTTAAAAAAAAAATTCTATTTTACTTGATTATTTTTTTTTATTCCATGGTGGAAACACGCTACCATACTAAAATTAATAAAACTTAAATGAAAATAAATTTAAGCTTTTATATATATATATATAATGTATATTTAAAGAAATGACAAATGCACATAACAAAAATACTAAAACTCAAACTAAAAGTATACCTAACTAAAGTAAAACTGAAAATATAAAACTAAAAGCTACTTTAAAATATTAATGAATACTATAATAATATAAAAATAATACTAAAAAAAACACTGTTCTGTAGCACTTTCCAAATTTGATTGCAAAAAACAATTATTTTAAATTTAATATATAAAAAGTTTAAAAAGAACATATTACACCTGGAACATTTCTTAGAAAGCAATAGCATTTATCTCTTTAGCCCTTTGCTAAAGCAGTGTAATGGCATTATAACCCAGTCAGATGTGCATCTCATAATCAAGTATGATACTAAGCAGTCAGTATAAATATATGCATTATATTAATGTCAAGTAATTGTACATGAGATCACCACACAAAACTCCGCACACAGTGAGATAATATTTTCATAAGGCAGATGTCCGTGATCTCTGTCTGTCTGTCTGTTCTCAGCGTCTCTGAGGTGAGATTTAATTGCTCGTGTCTCACATTCCCACATAAACCAGCTTCACTCCTTCAGTCTGCGACACGTATCAACATCTAATCCGATTCTAATTGACTCACACTGAACGCTGCAGTCTGAGCCTGACAGTTCACTGCTTCTCCAAGGACTCGGAGAAA